AAGGACTATTTAAGTTACTTATGGCTGTTTATGTATTTATATTGTAGCACATTTTTTCTCACTTGAAGCACACCATTTAACACTTTAAAATAATTTTAACGCGTGTGCAATTTTTGTGATCTATTCGAAAATTATCGAAAATAAAATTACTTAATAAATAACATAACTATTTAGTTCACAGTTCACCTTAAACGAGAATTCATTTAAAGAAATTAATTTATGACGGAGAGCCTACTACCACAGCGCCAAATATGTAGATTTGATTAAATTCTTTAAGAAGCGAAATACATATATAACATACGCCGCACTTTAAATATTTCCATAGAAATAAATTTTTAAGTAGGATTTTTCTTTAATTTAATATCGGCTATTTTGTTCCAATGTACGAGTGGTCACAGATAATATATATATATATATATATATATATATATATATATATATATATATATATATATATATATATATATATATATATATTCCTACTTAAAAATTTATTTCTACTTGACAATAACAATTTATTTTTATTACCGGTAATAAAAAATTAAATTGTTTTTGTCAAGTAGAAATAAGTAAAGTATTTCTTTGTTACCGGTTTGGGAAAAATATTTATCATACCAAAAATCAAGAAGCCTACGGGAATTAAAAAAAAATAACGGCTATATTTTATGAAGTACTTAATAGTTAACTACACTATTACGTTACGTTACGTGTTACGTACCATTTAATAACCATATTCTTGCAAATATGGATAAAGATAAATATTATAAATATATTATAAATAATATAAAATTATTACATGAAGATATTACACGATTTACACTTTTAATAATTTCATATAACAATAAAACAATGAATTTACACAGATTAATGTAAATGATACTCATTGAAAGTCATTTTCAGAATTTGTATATTACTGATTCGGAAAATATTTCCTCGTCATGTGAAACTTAAAAAGAAAGTTTTATTTAGTACAATGAATTATAGAAATCGTATTAGAAATAGCTTTATAGTGATCACCTCATTCACTGACCTTATATAAGTAGCATCCATGTATTACTTAAAATTATATTAATACGATTTTATACAATCTGTTTTTTACGTATGTTAATAAACACATATAATTTAATATTATATATATCAGATAATTTTGACTGTTATGTAAGTATATTATTTTTTATGCGTGTAAAGCTACACTGCAGCTATATTATTATGATTCTAGTACGAGTAGGTTGACATACCTGAGGAAGGGCCACGTTTTCATGGAATATTAACGCGAAAAGCAGCTCAATGCTGCTGTATTTCGTTTGGTGAATATAGAATACCGAAGACACTTTTTACTAGAAACGACGAGGCATTCTATCCTCAGGAGGGACAACACATTTGAATTTCGATTCTTGATCGAGGTGGACTTTGTGCTTGTTTATCACTCTTGTATGATAAAAAAGTAATATGCATCAATCGGCTTTCTACATGCCTTACCAGGTCGTCATCCAATCTAGGGGATGCGACCTATACTTCTCTAACTGGAAGAGGCTGTCTCTTGAGAACTTTTGCACAGTACAGAAGAAAAGCTTGTAAAGTAGAACGAAGAATAAAAAATATTCAATTATTTCTTTTAATTAAGTCGTTATTTTTTATTTAAAATTTTTAAACGTTTACCAAAATGACATGCGGCGATCTTTTCACGGAATATCTTGGCTCGTGTCCAAAATACAATTCAACCATACTAACTTTGTTTTATTTATTATATAAATCGTTTTAGCAGTCACAAAATAAAATACCAACTGAATTTGATGGCTCTGCCTCGCAGGGGGTTAGCAATGAGTTGCAGCGATAGGGCCGAGGGTTCGAATCATGTTTGGAACAAATATTTGTATGACAACAGTTAATTGTTCCGGGTCTGGATGATTGTCCTTGAAAATTAACGTATGTAAACTGCCTCCACGATACAGGATAAAAATTCTTTTTCTTCCTAATATAATTATTTTTTATTAAATTGAAATTACAAGGCTCGTATTATATAATGGCAAACGTTAGGGACCGCCAACAGAAGCAGAAACTTAATTTCTTGTTTCTTTAGTTGTTTGTTTTGGATTTTCAAATTAATTGTAGCGTCAATAAATAAGATGTTATAATTTGTAAATTATAATTATACATATTCTTATACGTAATAAAGCAAAACTGCAGCTATACTAAGTTAGATCGTAGGATTGCAGCTCTACGATTGTAGCACCAGTGGGTCGGCTCGACCGAAGAAGGACCACGCTCTCACAGAATACCAGTATAAAATAGCAGCTTACCTGATATATTATGTATGTTGAGTGTAGAGAAACTCCTACTCTCTTCTTACTGAAAACGTGGCATTCCATTTTAATTATCACAGGCGACAACGCATGTGCTTTCGGATTCTTAATCGAGGATAGATGTCGATGTCTCTCGCCCCTTCGAATTCCTCAGTACAAAAATTATATTCATTTCACCAAGACTACAGCTACAAAATTGCAACTACTGTTATTCGTTTTGAATATAACAAATGTAAGACAAAAAACTAGAATTTTTATAATATTGAGTTGGTGGACTAAAATAAAACAAATTTAAAAAAACCTTCGCAAGCTTAACTTCGCTTCACATTAAATTCATTGTCAACGCTTTTGCCTCGGCGGTTTATCTTTGTGCCTTTGAAACAGTTCTTGCCTATTCCAATGTGCTTTCACCTATATTATTTTGCCACGAGGATCGGAACAATATCTGAGACATAATTTGCAGTATGGGATGCAACATTTTACGACATAACTTATAGTATAGGATGATATAAATACAGTATCTTAATAATAGTAGTAGTCTAATGTAAACGACTTAAACAAGGAGGTCCTATGTTTGACTCTGAGGACTACGACGGAAAGCCTCTTTTTAAATAAAAACAGTCTCGAATTACCCAACCTTACCACATGAAACACTGCAACATTAAGCTGAAATTTTACGCTGGTATTCTTTGAGAGCGTAGTCTTTCCTCAGTCGAGCCTACCCATTCGTGATAAAACTATAATATAGCTGCAACATAGATCTACCATTTGGCTTTTGTTTTGCTTCTGAGTTACCACGGCTCATATTTTCGCTTATAAGTTATTACTTACAAACTATTATATTTTAGAATGTATCTTACGTTTGAGCATTTAGAAAACCAAAAAGTGTAGTGACAATAATGCTGTAGAGTATTCGTGTTTCATGTACGTTGATTAGCGTTTGAATTTAGAATGCCTAAGTTTTAAAGGGCTTTTAAATAACAAGGATATTTTTATCTTTTTATCAACAAAAAGGTTATGACGGACTCCTACCGGTTACTATCCTCCGGTGATCACCATCAGCGAATTCGAGGGGTTTCGGGATCTCCGACGGGAACGCAGTCAGGGAACTTCAATCGCTTTGTTACACTATTGCACCTTTAGGCAAAAGTTAAAAACGGTGAATGACATGTGATTTGCTAACATGTATCGATGATCGATATTTTAATTGTGTTCAATCATCAAATAATTATATACCGTTACAGCCTATCGGAAATCCACAGTGGAACATAGAATTCTCCAATAGATTAGCTCGTAGAATAGATTGTATCGTAGCTAAATTACCGCTTTGGTATTCAAAGAAATATCAAAACCTATAATGAAAAAGTAAACAATTTCAACTATAGCCTCTTTCCCTACTCTGAAATTACTTAGACATGTCACTCCTACTTAAGATTGTTATTGTACAGATTCTAATTTAACGTATCATTCAGAATACCAAGATATCCGTGTGGCCTTTTTAAGAATACAAATGTATTCTTAAAAACTATAAACTCTAAAACCATACTATAAACTTATAAACTTAAAAACTATAGCTACTGTATGGCATTGGTGTTTCCTTTGCAAAAAAAAAGGCATTCCGTACAGAATGCCAAAATTATTCTTCTTATCATTTCAAATCATAAGTATTCAACGAGCTGACTATAGTAACACTTTAATTTTGGTAGTTAACACACAACTTTCGTTACAAATCACTTAAATAGCAGCTCAGTACGAGGCGATAACGGCTCTACTTGGTCGAAGATTTTAATACATCCGGGGTTCTTGGCAGCTAAAGTTGTATTTAAATGCATCCTCGTATAATAGAAACCACATGGCGCTGTATTTTTTAATTTAATTTCGTAGCAATATTTTATACATTCGAAAGCGTATTGTAATAATATAATAAGCATAATACAAACTAGGTGACCTTGTAAAAGTGCGACGATACTTCACACAGGAACAACTTCTTACCGTTTGTAGATTACTTTATATAATTTAGGTATAGATAATTTATGTGATTCCCCTACTGTTTCTGTTACTCTAACACAACATTAAAAGTTTTTTTTTGCCTTATGGGATGATGGAGGCTTATATTTAACACAATATAACATTTTACTTTTTAATGAAAGACGCTGCCCATCTCTTGGTTTGTTTCTCACTGTCGTGTATTACGACACCCGCGTGACGATTTTGAGTAGTGCATATTCTTAGACAGCCACTACGCGGTACCCATTCCCATAAAAAATAAAGCTCGTGACACACACCGGGCACTCAACACAACGCTCACAAATTAATTACCTATTACCACTACATAGCATGTGTGCGTGAAATTTAGTAGAGAAGTGCGGCAGCCGAGTTAAAGCGATAATCCGGCTTCAACGTTGGCTTAAATGTTCGTATTGTAAATAAAATATCAATTCTTCTTCTTCTTCTACCTAGCGTTTATCACGGTTGCTCATACCGCCCAGCGCGGAAGAACCCAGTCATTTGTTTCCCACGTAGCTTGCCGGTCGTCGTAAGACGTGGCCGTACCAGCGGACTTTCCTGGAGCTTGTCAGCAATGTCACGGACATGGAGGCTGCCGCGGATGTATGTATTCCGTACATGGTCTTTCCGCGTGACGCCACACATCCATCGCAGCATGTTCATCTCTGTGACATGCAACAAATGCCGGTGTCACTCCAGCACCGGCCACGCTTCACTGTAGTCTCTATAGACCTGTCCCTTCAGCTTGACCGGCATTTTGGGGTCATGGTTGATGTCGCGATCGATGTCCCCGGACGCATCAAGCACAGATCCGAGGTACCTGAAGTTGTCCGTGCGCTCGACGGTGTTGTCGCCTATACGGAGAGACGTCAGGTCTGTGCTGTTGCAGGCCATATACTCCGTCTTCGCCACATTTAGCTTCAGCCCGCCGTTCTCAAGCTCCTTCCATCATGCGTGCACGCGTCTGGTGAGCAGTCCTTTGTCCCCATCTACCAGTGCGATATCATCAGCGTACATAAGCAGCTAAGGCTGCGGTAGTTTCTGTACGCTGATTGTCAGTTCGTCTAATATCACACTGAAGAGGTAGGGGCTTTAGACGGAGCCCTGATGCACGCCTACGGTTATGAGGAAGGGGGTGGTATCACCAACAGCGGTCCTGACTATTGAATCGGAGTTGCGGTACATGTCACGTACGATTTCCACGTAGGTCTCTGGTACCAATTTCGACCGCAACGCCCACCAGATCATCTCCCTAGGAACATAGTCAAAAGCATTCTGCAGTTCTAGGAATAAAAAATGCAGATGCATATTCTTTTCTCTATGCTTCTCCATGCGGATATAGGGTCCGTGGTACCGTATCCTGGTTGGAAACTGTACTGAGAGTCCGATACTGTACACTCCTGTCAGATCCTGGTGTCAATAATGCGCTCGAAGAACTTCATGGTGTGTGACGTCACCTTTATACCGCGGTAATTACCGCAATCCTGAACGGACCCTTTACCCTTGTGGACCGGCGTTATTATACTAAGCCGCCACTGATCGTGCATTATTCGGTCGCTCACGATTCTGTTATAAAGAATAGTAAGAATGCACATACCACGAGCGCCCAGCGCTTTCCACGCTTCAATCGGCACCTCGTCCGGTCCGACAGCTTTCCGATTCTCCATGTGACGAAGAGATGCGAGGACCTCGTCAGGCGTAATTGGTGGCACGAGTCCATGGTTCGGGAGTTGTGGGGTGCACTTCCCGGTGCTGGGTATTCAGCAAAACGTGGACATAAGAGCGCCATCTCTCCTTCACCGCACGATCATCGTACAGGAGCTAGCCATTAGGGCCGTTGACGCTGCAGCAGCGAGTAATATCTTGCGTTGCTTTTGCCCTAGAGCGTGCCAGTTTATATATGAGCTTGTGCCTCTCAGGAGTGTTCAACTTAGCATATAATGGTTGCAAGTTCTTTTCGCTGTCTTGTAAGATGCGCGATCTTCAGGAGATTTGGTCGCTTGCCACGTCTTGAAGAGTGCTTTTTTTCTCCCGTAATGAACTTTGGATTGTGGCGTCCCACCACCAGGTCGATTGTCGATTTTGCGACGCCTTTTCGCCACGCCGAGGACTTGCTTTGCCGTCTTTGTGATTGCTGTCTGAATGGTTTTCCAGCACTCTTGGACGGACTTGCCTGCTGTGTCAAGACTAATATCCTCAGCGGCAGAGTCAAACTCTGAGTATGTGTTTTGATCCAGCAGCCACCACTTGATTTGACGGCGGCAACGTTCGGCGCGTCTGCGACGGGGTTTTACGCAGAGGTCCATGACAAGAAGTCGGTGTTGGGCAGTGAGACACTCACCTAGTATGACCTTACAGTTAGCCACGCGACTGATATGGCTTCTCCTGGTCAGTATATAGACGATTTGAGTGGCGTTCCGACCGCTCCTGGTGGTAATCAGGTGCTTGGTTTCTTTTTGAAGAACGTGTTCACGACGGCCAGGTCAGCTGCAGTGCAGGTTCTGAGAATGGTTTCCCCCTCTGTGTTTCTTCGGCCATAACCATAGCCGCCGTGGACACGTTCATACTCCCCTTGCACATCGCCCACATGACCGTTCAGGTCGCCACCTAACACAACATCGTGGGATAACGGTATGCCGCGTAGTACATCTCCGAGCCGATCCCAAAATAGCGTCTTATCTGCTTCGCTGCAGCCGACCTGTGGGGCGTAGGCACTTATTAAGTGGGTCACGACCCCCTCAACAAGCAACCTTACTAGCATAAGTCGGTCTAACTTTCAAGACGCTATCGTGGAAATGCTCGGCGAGCACCACTGCCACACCGTTATCCCCACCAGAAGAGCCTGTATAGATCTGCTTGTATCCGTGCCCAATATTTCGGCTACTGTTGGCCTTCCACCATGTCTCCTGCAGGAACGCCACTGCCACTTTATGCCTGGCAAGTATGGCCGCAAGTTCTGTGAGCCGATCAATTGTAAGTAATTAATTAATAATAATAAAACGATAAAACTTAATGATATCGTAAATTAGTAATTATAAAAGCAAAACCATTAATAATATATAATAGGAATATCATATATAGTTTTATCACAGAATAAATAATAGTACTACGTACAGAAGTTACACTCCTTTGATGTTGACTGCTTGCCGACTTTATTAGCCTACATAATTATTATTGATTAGATAAGTCGCCCATGCAAGCAAAATTAAACTTTATCGCTGCGCGCAAGAGTCCGTATTACTTTGCATCGTTTTCTTTTCCTATGTCACGGCAGACTTGTCATGGTTACTAATTGATGTCAATAAAGAGTAAACAAAAATACATTACAATGTTATTTAAGTTAGTTATTAAAGTATTTAAGTTAAGTTACTTAGGTGAAGTACCTATTCCGATTATGATCGACTGACCATAATATTTTCCCACCTATGTGAGCTCTGTGACGCCCAACACATACAACTTGCAAGGCCATTCGTCGGGAATCGCGATGCTTATGTTAGAAGAAATAGTTAGATAGTGTAAACAACAAATAACCCTGAAAAACAATTCCTAACAGAAATGTGATCGTATTCTACTTAGTTAAAAATATTGTTAGAAAGTTTTAATTACAGTATTTTGTGTTATTATTTTACATTACATTGTTGTATATTACCTAAAATATATGTGGCGGCGCTGTCGTCGCACCACAAGAGAAACACATCGGAGCCTAAATCGCGTTATCAAAGTTCCGAATCAAAAACAGTAAATGTAGATTAGCTCCGAACTATCACACGGAGCGCTGGCCGCATCCCAGGCAGAACACCCTGCCCGGCAGGAGATCTCCCATTTTTCTTCCACGGCCACACTGGTGACCACCCGACGTGATTTGAACACGCAACCAACAATCTTCGGGAACTACAACTTCAAACCTTCGTTATTATTCTCAAGAACCCCTACCATTCACCACTGAGAATCGTCTTCTGCAGTCTTCAGTTCCTGCAAGCCAGTCCAACTTGTCTTCATCTCGACTCACCGCAGATTTATAAAGTAGACTTCTGGCACTTGCTCCAGCAATTTTTTTTCATCGGCATCACTTGCCAGTGCGTAGTACGGGATGCATTACACATTGCCATATCATTCGCACCGGTTTCACTTGCCCTACGCACACAGCATGCATTCCCCACCGGCATTAAGGATGCACCGGCAATCAAACTGCACTATCGAACTCCGGTCTGAGTAGGGGCGTGATGTGGCGGCACTGCCGTTGCGCCACAATCGAACCGAACTATCACACGGACTATTACAAAAGACAAGTATAGGTATATAAATAGATACTTAGATAGTGAAGTAAATTTCACTTAAATATTGTAATAAATTACTTAGGTATTATTTCTGTAGGAAAATAATTATTTAATTCTTTTTTGCTATAAGTACCTATCTAAAAAATGTAAATCGACCTGTCATAACTTCCTACTAAAATCCTTCAGTAACTTAAAGAATGATGTAACTGAAACCTTTTGTGGGTCATTTAGCATGTATCTTCACAACAGTTATAGTATAAACGAGTATTTGTCATAACAATTGATGAAATGGGTAATATACATAATATATATAACTTTTAAATAACGTTAAAAATTTCTACTATTTTATCCTACAAATAAATATACTAAACACTAAACATCGTGAAGGAAAACATCATGAGGAAACCCACATGTCAGAGAAATAAGAAAAAATATATTTCGAAGACATGTGAAGTTCGCCAACAAGCATTGGGGCAACGCGGCGGACATTTCCTTGCCCTAAAACCCTCTCAGAAATAAGCGGAGGCCTGTGCCCAGCAGTGGAACGTATATAGGCTGTAACTTTAAACACTAAACAAAAACTATTTCAACAAGTATCTACAAAAAACGATTTACGTAAATGACTTTAAATAACTTTAACATTCAATCACCTATCCTACAACGCGCTAGCCCCGACTGCATATATGTTACTCTGGGTAGGCCTCTATCGCTCTTACTACCTATGTGAAATAATTACCTAAAATCGCGACGCGCCCGAGCGAAATAACGCAGTCAGGGCTAGTGCTTTGAAGGCGAATGAATGTTGAAGTTTTTTAACGCTGTTTACGTATATAAATTTTTGTAAGTGTTGTTGAAATAGTTTTTGTTTAGTGTTTAGTATATTTAATTATAGGATAAATAGTTCAAAAGTTTTGATGTAATTTAAGAACTATATATTATGTATATTATCAATTATTTAATAAATTTTAATATGGCAACACGTCGTTCCTACCATAACTGTTGCGTGGATAGACGCTAAATGACCAACAAAATATTTCAGATATATCATTCTTCATTACCGAAGGATTTTAGTAGGAAGTTATGAAACGTGAATTTACGTAATTTTTATTGTTAGATAGGTACTTATAGCAAAAAAGGATTAAGTAATAATTTATTTAATATCTACGAACTTTATTACAAAATTTGGTGGAAATTTACTTCAATATCCAAGTATCTACTTACGTACATATACTTGCCTTTTGCATAAGCTTTTGTGTAGCTAAAATAACACAAAACACTGAAATCAAAACTTCGTTTACCAACAAAATTTTTAACTAAGTAGAATACGATTACATTTCTGTTAGGAATCGTATTTCAAGTTTATTTGTTGTTTACATAATCTACCTTTTCCTTCCGAGCCAAGCGTCGCGATTCCCGACGAATGGCCTTGCAATTTGCATACGTTAGGCATCGCAGAACTCACGTAGGACCGAAAATTTAATATTTCGTAATGTATTTTGTTACTCTTTATTGACATCCCTCCATAACAACGGAAAGTCCACCGTAACGTAGAAAGAGGAAAATGTGCAAAGTAATACGGACACTCTCGCGCAGCGATAAAGTTTTATTAGTTGACTAAGTTTGACCGCAATCTGATGAACGGTTGCCATCATCGTAGAAAGTACGAACAAACATAAATTTTTATATAGTAGAAAATATTTTACTGTCTACAGACAGACCTGTAATTGATTAGAATAGGCGTTATTATAGCAGCTGATTTGTTTTTTATAATACTAGAACTAAATGAACGGTTGACAATAAGTTATTATAGAAAGTATGTGTTTATTTTTATTTTCTGTAGTTCGTTTAATCTTAATAATTTTTTTGATTGATTGGTTAAGGGCTATGATGGCTATCCGAGTACAGAACCAGAGTACAAAACTAATCCAACTGTAGAGAGGTGTAAGACGGGGTGACGTTATATCCCCGAAACTCTTCACCGCTGCATTGGAAGACGTTTTCAAGCTACTGGACTGGAAAAGATACGGTATTTACATCAATGGCGAGTATATTCACCTTCGATTTGCCGACGATGTAGTTCTTATGGCATAATCGCTGGAGGACTTAAGCAATATGCTCAATGACCTCAATAGTGCCTCCCAAATGGATGGGTCTTAAGATGAACATGGACAAAACAAAGATCATGTTTATTGTCCATGTCACACCTATGCCCGTAGTTTTTGAGAACACTAAGCTCGAAGTTGTTGACGAGTACGTTTACCTGGGACAAATATTTCGATTAGGTATATCCAACTTCGACCGAGAGGTCAATCGACGGATTCAACTCGGCTGGGCAGCGTTCGAGAAATTACGACACATCTTCTCGTCAGGCCTATGTTCAGCAGTGGACT